AACACTAGGCCACACTTTGAATTCAATGTCAAGCACAAACAGCCAAGACACTTTAGTGAACTCCAAGACAAAGAATAGAGTAGAAGAGTAGAAGAACAATGGAGACAATCAAGCTAGCACAAGAAAGAATGTTCCTAGATAGGTTCTAGATTTAGAATGACAAATTAAAAAAAAATGACTAAAGAATTAAAGCTGAAAATCATGTCAAACACTTCATGTTACACATAGAAAACCGAGAAGCACAAGCAAATAATACAATCTCCTTTTTTGGCTTTTACTTGAAATTAGGTTTGCATTTTTTTTTATCAAATTTCTTTTTGAATTTTTCTTTTGATTTTTGATTTGATTTCTTTCTCTTTTTTTTTTAATAGGAGATGCCTTTTATCTTTTGAATTTTGAAATAAGGTAACTCTCGGTCACTCACACAATTTGCACTAAAAATCGGTTTACAATTTGAATACAAATGAAATTCAAATTAGGTTAAAATGTGATGCACTTGCACATGCTTTTTCTCATTTCACTTGTCACGGTTTTACCTCCAAAATTTGAATTCAAAATGTCCAGCCAATTTTCCAGCAACCAAGTAGTGTTTTCCAAAGAGTTACTCACGGATTGACACAAGAAAATTTTAGAAAACAAATTGACTCAAAGGAAACCTAAAGCTAAGAAAACTACCAATGATCTAGTAGTAGTTAATGAACTCAAATGAAAATAAAAAACAATATGAAGCACAACTAGAATCAAAAAGATTCGGCCAAGTCTAGAAATTCAAAACAAATGACACAAAATAGTAAAACAAGCATAGCTAAGAAGTTTAAACATACAAAGGACTAAACATTACTCTAGACATAAGATTCAAAAATTAAAAGACTCAACAAGCATATGACCGAAAATTTGTAATCAAGACTTAAAGAAAATAAAAGCACCAAAGCTGAATTTCCTACGGCACATTTTTAGAGCATGATTCATAGGATAGCAACAAATTCAAAACGCATTTTATGAATCATTCAAACAACCGAAAACTAGATCTATCAATTTTAAGGCACAAAATTTGATCTAGTTAAGGAAGAAACTCAATCAAGACAATGACACAAAATCAAACAGATCAAACACAATCAAAAAGATAAGAAACTTATCTCTTGAAGAACCAGCAAAACAAATACAATAAAAAGGAAAAATTACAAGAATTAAAATGAGCCTCATATTGGGTACCAAAAGCCCAAAGGCCCATGAAGCCCAAAACTAAGCCCAATAAGCCTATGACTCAAAAATGCTACCCAAAGTGTGTCAACCCACATGGAAAATATAGCAGGTTAGGATATCCATTACACAACGTTTATCGCACTTAATTAAGGAGATCAAGGTTAACCAAAGTATTACCCATCTTCCAAGATAGAAGGCCCACCAGGCCCATATACGTCACTATAAATACACAAGTGATGGGAAAAAAAAAGAGGTATGATTTATCTAGTATAAAAGCCTTTATCGCTCTATACCGAACACTAACTTGAATGTCGGAGTGCCTTTGCAGGTACCCTCCCCACCCTTTGAAGATAGTATTCGGTCGGCACTGAAGACTTAGAAGATCACGAAGAAGGAGCAACAAAAGAAGTGTTTCTAAGCAGGAACAAACGACATTTGAAAGCTAACATTCAAGGCGACAACTTTCATTGTGACACCCTCTACCCCAACATACATATAAAAACATATTCTTGGTTTAAATAAAATTTTTATAATTAAAACAATGAATCCATTAACATAAGAGTAGAGAATTCACATTTGTATACTTCAAACATGGTCAAATGCAGAATTTATAGCAAAATGAATCTTTGATGGAGCCAAGTAGGTGAGATGAAGGGATGAATCCTCCTTGCTTGGTTCCGCAAATGATCTTCTCCTTTAGACCTTGAATTTGAGTGGAAGTAATGAAAAAGATGACTAGGTTTGGAGATCCAAACCTAAGATGGAAACACTCTAGCAAAGAATGCCAAGGAACGTGCACAAAAGGCTTTAGGAGATTTCGGATTCCTAAAGCTAAGGCTAGAACTTAGGTGACTCTTGAAAAGAATTTGGCTGAAGCTTTTATTTAGAATTCTCTAATCTCCATACATGAATGAAGGAAGGAAGCTTATATAGGCATGGATTTGAAGCTAGTTGGCGCCAAGTTCAAGCTTCAAAAATTGGCACCTAGATTTGAATTTGAATTCAAATTTTCAGCCCACATGTGCTTGGCCGTGAATCTTGGTGCTTCCATGCATCTAAGTTTAATTTGGCAAGCATTTAGGGTTAATTTGAGTGTGCACATGTTCAGCCACTCATGGTGAAAAACATGTGACTCAAATGCAACTTAAATGACTTTCAAATTAAACCTAGTTTTGCTTAATTAGCCTATTTAAGTAATCCTTCCATAATCCTATTCTAATAGCCTAAATACAATGGCAAAACAAATACAATAAAAAGGAAAAATTACAAGAATTAAAATGAGCCTCATATTGGGTACCAAAAGCCCAAAGGCCCATGAAGCCCAAAACTAAGCCCAATAAGCCTATGACTCAAAAATGCTACCCTATATGGTCCAAAATACAAGACCAAAATGTATGAAACCTATGCTAATATAATATATACAAAATAGAAGAAAATGAGTATCTCAAGGTATGGCCCATGTGAAGTTCAACTTGGGCCTTGCAAGCTCATCGAGCTCATTGGGCCTTGACTAGCCCAAACCTTCATGTGTAGCCCATTCCTCTTGGATCCTTCAAGGTGTCACCCCTTGCCTTTCTAGGCATGATTCCATCATTACAAGACCAAAATGTATGAAACCTATGCTAATATAATATATACAAAATAGAAGAAAATGAGTATCTCAAGGTATGGCCCATGTGAAGTTCAACTTGGGCCTTGCAAGCTCATCGAGCTCATTGGGCCTTGACTAGCCCAAACCTTCAGAGTCAAAGCCCAACTGAAGAGTACTATGGGCTTCTCTTGAACATGTGCCCATTCTTCATGTATCCTTTTAGCCATAGCCCTAGTAGTTGAGGCCTTGGCCCATGGGCTTCCTCCATCAATAACTTTATGATTATCCATCAATTTGAATTAATGAAATGAAGTATTAAATGATTTTCAAAGTTTTTAAAAATTTACAGATTTGACCTATGCATTAAGAATTTTAAATTGAACAGTTAAATTGTTAAAATTTGATATAGAACATAAGTTATTATTAAATTGATCTAGACTTACTCCTAGAGTAATAGGATTCCTCCTCATATATATTTGATTTACATGAAAACATGAACATTAATAAAAGAAAACATGTTATATAACAGAGACAAACTAACAACAATATGCATTAAGCAACGCTCTGAGTTGGACAAGTCTATGAATGAGTCAGACGAGCTGGTAATTTAGTTGTTAATAAGTAATTGAACATTGAAGGTGCTAATTTTTGGTGCTTGCAATAATTTGCATGGTTAAAATCCTCTAGTGTTTGAATTAGATGTCCAATTATTCATCAACGCCTTGAATTCTTGCTTTCTTTTCTCTATGATTTCCATATTGCAACATTTCCATCAAATAAATTATTTATTTATTTTCTGTCGACAATATGTATCTTTTAGGTTTTCACTTTTCATCATACTTTAGGCATGATTTTATGGAAGAAAAGAAATACAGGATCGAGAAGAATAGGATGTCTTAATAAACTATAGTTGGTATATCAAAATTTTATTGAACTTACTATAGAAAGCGTGTCCTTTACAACCCACTAACATGTATGGAAAACACTTCCACAGTTGCTGCTATCGATCAGATCAAGAATTAAGGATCCCTACTCCCTAGGGTTGTGTGAAAAGGTGCAGGTAGTGTCATGTCTTCGTCAAAATTACCAATAATTATACTAAAGCTGTATCCAGTGACGAGTCGGTGGAACAAAAGCCAGTTCCCTTGGAAGAAAAAAAGGGCCTTCTTCCCCACCTCTATTTGCTAGTCACATTCCAGAGTCATTTTTTAAGAACTCTTTTGTTCAAGGGACGGCCAAAAAGCAAAGGCTAAGTTTGACAAAGAATCTTCCCTACTAAGAAAAACACAAAAGTGAAAGGAGGCTGTTTTTATCATTATATATATTTATATTACAGATTTTATAATATTTTTGAATTTAGTTGGAATATAAAATTTTATACGGTAGTTTAATTATAAAAAATTTATTTTTAGGATATTATTATTTATCTCCTCTCACCACGTTAATTATGTTATTATATATATTTTTTCGTATTATCTCTTTTTATTGTATTAAAAAGTATACAAATATACTTTCCCTGAATCCATAACATGCAAAGCAAAAGAAAATAGTAATAAAATTGGAGTGACAGACAAAACGACCCAAAAAGATTCAAACGTCTAAAGGTGCTTGCAAACCAAGATAAGCACCCTCTTTTAATACCATTTTCTTACCTCTTGCTATCCTCTGGCTTCCACTCCACGCCTTCCTATTCTAACCATACAACTAAGAATCCCACTATATATTTTAATTTCAACCTTTTAAATATATTTTTATCTAAATTTTAATTTTTAAACCTTTTTATAGATATTTTTTTAGGAAACTTTTCCATCAATATTATATTTAATGGGTTATAGCAATTTTAAAAGTGATTTCTTTTTTATCATTACTTAACAATGTCATGCATTTAATTATTACGCATTACATAATAAATCAGAATAATTTTACTAACATGGAGCAGTGAAATGCCTCCAACATAAAGGCAAAGGATGAAACTAAAATATTTTCAAAATTTTAAATTTCATAAAATAATCATAACAATTAAATACTTTATACAATATGATTAACAAAAAGATATCTATAATAACTAAAAGGAAATTTTAATAAAAATAAAATAAATTTGTACATGAAATAAATAAATAAAAATGTGACATAATGAAGAGAAGTAAAGGAAAAAAATTATATAAATAATATAAATATGCATGGTTTGGCAATAAATAAACAAGAACCTCCGTTTGTACCTTTTGCTCAGATTATATATAAGTGGCTTCCCTAAACTTGATGCATCCTTCTTTCTCCTTCGTTTCCGAACCCTGAACCTGCCATAGCCAAAGCAATAGGTTAGGACATGAGATACACATAGCAGCCAAAACGCAGCGTTTGGGAACTGACACATCGCTTCGCACGCTTGTTGAAAGAATGGGCACTGTTCGAAAGCTGATGGTGGAGGTCGTGGACGCTCACAACCTGGTCCCCAAGGACGGGCACGGAAGCTCGAGTCCCTACGTGGTCATTGACTTCTATGGTCAGCGGAAGAAGACTCGGACCTTGGTTCGCGACCTGAACCCGGTCTGGAACGAAACGCTGTCGTTCAACGTGGGCGCGCCCTCCAACATCTTCGGCGACATGCTCGAGCTCGACGTTTACCACGACAAGAACCACGGCTCCACGCGCAGGAACAACTCCCTCGGCCGCATCCGCCTCAGCTCCACGCAGTTCGTCAAGAAAGGCGAAGAGGCTCTCATTTACTACGAGTTGGAGAAGAAGCACTTGTTCAGCATGATCCAAGGCCAGATCGGATTGAAAATCTACTACGTCGACGAGCCGATTCCCCCTCCGCCGCAGGAAAAACCCGAAGAACCACCGGCGCCGCCGTCTCAACCGCCACCGGAAGGTGACAAACCAAAAGAAGAGGCGCCGGAGAAGGAAAACGCTGAACAAACTAAGGAACCAACAGAAGGAGATGAAAAGCCAGCCGAAGCCGAACCTGAAGGTGATAAACCCTTAGAAAGTGAGGATCACGTGGATGCGTCACCACCGGAAGCATCTGTGGAGCCTGACGTGAATTTAGATGTGAAGGCGGCGTCTATTTCGAGGTCAAATTCGGAAGTAAGGTTCAGCGGAATGAACGGTCCACAGCCGATCAGAAGGTCTGCATCAGCGGCAAGTTTTGCTTCAGAAGCTTCCACGGAAAGCATGTTGATGGAACGTTCCACGTTTGATTTGGTGGAGAAAATGCACTACCTATTCATCCACGTGGTGAAAGCGCGGTACTTACCCACCAATGGAAGCCCGGTGGTGAAGATCGCGGTATCGGGGCAAAACGTGACGTCCAGGCCAGCTCGCAAGACCACGCTATTCGAGTGGAACCAGACCTTTGCTTTCGGCCGCGACGCACCGGATTCCTCCTCCATCCTCGAGGTCTCCGTGTGGGACCCACTTTTGTCTGATGCTGATGGTAACGGACGTAGCTTGCTGGGTGGAGTGTGTTTTGACGTGAACGAGATTCCCGTGAGGGACCCACCGGACAGTCCTCTTGCCCCGCAGTGGTATAGATTGGAAGGAGGTGGGGCCCTCCACGGGGACCTCATGATTGCCACGTGGATGGGAACGCAGGCTGACGAATCGTTTCCCGACGCGTGGAAAAGCGATACCTTTGGTCATGTTAACTCCAAAGCCAAAGTTTATCAGTCGCCAAAGTTATGGTACCTCCGAGCAACGGTTCTCGAAGCTCAAGACGTTCTTCCGTTAACATCCAAGGAAGCGGGCCTTCAAGTGAAGGCGCAGCTTGGATTTCAGGTGCTGAAATCCAAAACGGCCGTTACTCGAAACGGCAGCGTTTCATGGAACGAGGACTTTATTTTTGTGGTGGCGGAGCCTGTAAGCGACCACCTCGTGCTCACTTTGGAAAACCGGCAACACAAAGCGCCGGTGACAATGGGCGTTCTGAGGATACCTTTAATCTCCATTGAGCGAAGGGTCGATGACCGGAGCGTCGCGTCGCGGTGGTTCACCTTCGACAGCCCCAACGAGGAGAACAACAAGAAGAGTGGCAGCTACAAAGGCAGGGTGCACCTGCGCTTGTGCTTCGACGGCGGGTATCATGTGATGGACGAGGCAGCTCACGTGTGCAGCGATTACCGCCCCACGGCAAGGCAACTCTGGAAGCCTCCGGTTGGCACGGTGGAACTCGGCATCATTGGTTGCAAGAATTTGGTACCAATGAAGACTGTAAACGGTAAAAGCTCCACGGACGCGTACTGCGTAGCCAAGTACGGTAACAAATGGGTACGTACGAGAACCGTTTCAGAAAATTTAGAGCCCAAGTGGAATGAGCAGTACACGTGGAAGGTGTACGATCCTTCCACTGTTTTAACCATTGGAGTATTCGACACGTGGCAAGTGCTCGACGTTGATAAAGATAACGATCTCAGCGAGCCTTCAAGACCTGATTTCCGTATAGGAAAAGTGCGAGTTCGTATTTCTACGCTTCAAACAGACAAAGTGTATAGAAATACGTACCCGCTGCTGGTTCTAACTCATGCGGGACTAAAAAAAATGGGTGAAATTGAGATAGCCATAAGATTCATCCGCACGACTCAACGGCTAGATTTCCTCCACGTGTACTCGCAGCCGATGCTGCCGTTGATGCACCACATTAAGCCATTAGGGGTTGTCCATCAGGAAGCGCTGGATAACGATCTCAGCGAGCCTTCAAGACCTGATTTCCGTATAGGAAAAGTGCGAGTTCGTATTTCTACGCTTCAAACAGACAAAGTGTATAGAAATACGTACCCGCTGCTGGTTCTAACTCATGCGGGACTAAAAAAAATGGGTGAAATTGAGATAGCCATAAGATTCATCCGCACGACTCAACGGCTAGATTTCCTCCACGTGTACTCGCAGCCGATGCTGCCGTTGATGCACCACATTAAGCCATTAGGGGTTGTCCATCAGGAAGCGCTGAGGAGCACGGCGGTGAGAATGGTGGCGGGACACCTGTCGAGGGCGGAGCCGCCGCTGAGGAAGGAGGTGGTGCTTTACATGCTGGACGCTGATTCCCACAACTTCAGCATAAGGAAAGTGCGCGCCAATTGGTACAGGATCATAAACGTGGTCGCGGGCGTCATCGACATCCTACGGTGGATAGAGGATACACGTGGATGGAGGAATCCAACGGCCACAGTTTTGGTTCACGCGCTTTTGGTTATGCTGGTGTGGTTCCCCGATCTAATAATTCCAACTTTCGCTTTCTACATTTTCGCTGTGGGCGCGTGGAACTACAGGTTCAGGGCGCGTGACCCGCTACCGCATTTGGACCCAAAGATCTCGCTGGCGGAGGTGGTGGACAGGGAGGAGCTGGACGAGGAGTTTGACGCGGTACCGAGTGGGAGGCCGAACGAGGTGGTGCGTGCGAGGTACGATAAGTTGCGCACGCTCGGGGCGCGCGTGCAGACGGTGCTGGGGGACTTCGCCACGCAGGGGGAGCGCGTGCAGGCGCTGGTCACGTGGCGGGACCCACGTGCGACGGGGATATTTGTCTTCCTCTGCTTGCTCGTGGCGTTGTTGCTATATCTGGTGCCGTCCAAGATGGTGGCTATGGCTTCAGGTTTTTACTATCTCCGCCACCCGATCTTCCGCGACCGCTTGCCCTCGCCGGCGTTGAACTTCTTCAGACGGTTGCCGTCAATGTCGGATCGGATTATGTAGACTTGTCAAAATAAAGTATGGTGTCGTAAAAGTTCGTTACACACAAGTAGAAAGGCATACGTAGATATGAAATATGGATTTTCGATTTTCTTTTTTAATTATTGAACGAGTATTCACATTTTATTTTATGGAATTGTGTGGTTTTTAGTCTGTGGAGCTCCGTTTTTGAATTAGTAAAATGTTAAATAAAATTTTAAAATTAAAATGATCGTCATTTTAATTTTTAATAGTTAAACATGATTATTATTTAGAGTTTTTAAGTTTTATAGATTATTATTTTTTATTATTAAAGTTTGTAAATTTTATAGTTTATTATTTATATTTATACCGAAAGACCATTCAACTAACCAAAGACTGAAAAAATATGTGAAGAGATTGTTATTTTCTAAGCTATTGGAACTCTTCTTAAAGAGTATTTTCTATCCAACACATGGACAACAATTGAACATGTTAGATGATCAATGTAATGCAAATATCCTTGGAGCATTTTAAGTGCTAAATACATGTTGGCTTTTTATTATTGTGGATTCTTTTTTAAAGCAAATTACATAAATCAAAGTTGTTTTAAAATTATTTATATTTTTTGTAGGTGTTGTTATGGATCATAGTAATACGTATGACACCTTTCTATTTCACATGTATACTAATTAAACACATAAATAATTTAAGTCAAATAACTAACTTTATGTATAAATAACCAATTCAAATAAAATAAGGTTGGTAGAGAATGTCACATAACAAAATCAAATTCTCTAGTAAAACTTTCAAAAATAACACAACTAAATAATCCAACATTTTATACTAGAAGTAGATGACAATAAAATGAATAATTATAAATCTTTGCTCTGATATCAAATATCTTATCAAAACACTCACACACAAGGACTAAGTCTCATCACGAGTATCATCAACATCATACATAAAGAACAACATAGAAACAAGGAAAATGAGAAATATCTCACTCTAACTTGTGGTATGAAACAAAAGATGAATAACCAAACATACTTAATACATTATAACAATAATATCAACATTAGCATATAATTAATACAATCAAAAACAATAACTCATTCACAGTACATCAATCATTAATCTCAAGATATAATATAGTAACATGCGAATATAAGATGTAATAAACATGGACTCTCAATCGACATGCATGTGATACCAATCACAAGATATGTATGGTGCATATATAACGATTTGTCAATTTTCCAATTAGTGTGTGTATGATACATGTCACATAAATTCTATCATATCATGAATCATTACATATACTCAATGATTTGCTACACATACGATTTTTCATACACACAATTTGTCATACATACAATTTACCACACAATTTGTTATACATACACTTTGCGACACATACGATTTGTCATATAAATTTCAATTCTTATAAATTCACAATTTCATATTCAATCATATACAATAATTAGCACAAGAATCATTCCTTGGACAAGTAACTAACACACATAAAACACCTTGTATCACACAATAGTCATATGTTCATAGTTCAAACACACATTTATACGATTTAACTCGATACACCTCAAATCAACAATCAAATCACATGATAACTTATTCACAATTGTTCTCTCTCATGATTTCTCTTTCCTAAATATTGATATTGGTATCTCAAATCATTCATAAGATCAAACACTTAGAGGGTAAAATTATTCATTATCATCATTCACAAACTACATATTATAACATAATTTTCTAAGACATTGTGTTGTCCAAACACCTTATATATATATATATATGAGGAGGGTTCAAACGACACCGGTGTAACTTTTACAAAGTGTTACACCGCTCAATAACTTTATATTAAATGTGAATTTTGAAAATCCAACTGTTAGATTGAAAGTTCATATCTCTTAGATCATATATGTCAAATTTTATATTAATCTAAGATGATTTGATACTTCATTCTCATAAAATAAAATTGACGTAATATATACATTTCAAAATATACTAAAATATGAACGTTTTGATTACCTTCAAGTTGTTGTTCAATTTTAATAAAATTTGACATATATGATCTAAGAGATATGAACTTTCAATCTAACGGTTAGATTTTCAAAATTCACATTAATATAAAGTTATTAAGCGGTGTAACACTTGGTAAAAGTTACACCGGTGTCGTTTGAACCATCCTCTTTATATATATATATTATTACTTCTTTCAAATAAGACATCGTGTGATCCAAATGTCATATCTAGACCTATATATATATATATATGATATCAAGTTGATCACAAGTTTTATAGAAAGACAAGAAAATTAGTTACAACTTCTATCCTGACCTCAAGAGTTAATTTTGTCATTTACTATTTTAAAAAAATACAAAATCACAATGTTTCGGTCTAAGTTTGACAGCCTAATCTGTGCTCACTAATTTAATCATAACTCGAGTTTTAAACCTTCTTTTTAAGTAATTCTAACGGTGTACTGGGAAATACACCCTTCGGCCAAAACCTAGGCCGACTACACCCTTCGGCCTGGGAAGAGGCCGAGACAAGCACCTAAACCGACGAAGTCTTCATTCAAATCACCCCTTCGACTAGGTCAACAGCCAAAGAGTAGCTACCCCCCTTTTCGGCCTTATGGATTACTGAATACTCCTCCCACAATAAAAGGTGAAGGAAGTGTTCCAAAACTGGGCAAAAGAGCATCAAGGGGAAACATTCAAATCACCCCTTCGGCTTTGAACATGGCCGAATACCCATTCGGCCTTAAGCTTGGCCCAGCCCCCCTTCGGCCTTGAGAATGACCGAATCCCCCCTCGGTCATAAAAATAACCAAACACCTCTTCGGCTAAAAGCTTGGCCAAAGACCCAAAGTGTGTCAACCCACATGGAAAATATGGCACGTTAGGATATCCATTACACAACGTTTATCGCGCTTAATTAAGGGAGATCAAGGTTAACCAAAGTATTACCCATCTCCCAAGACAGAAGGCCCACCAGGCCCATATACGTCACTATAAATACACAGGTGATGGGACAAAAAAGAGATATGATTTATCTAGTATAAAAGCATTTATCGCTCTATACCGAACACTAACTTGAACGACAGAGTGCCTTTGCAGGTTCCCTCCCCACCCTTTGAAGATAGTATTCGGTCGGCACCGAAGACTTAGAAGATCATGAAGAAGGAGCAACAGAAGGAGTGTTTCTAAGCAAGAACATTTTGGCGCCCATCGTGGGGCCGAAACCAAAACGGTTCTTGACCTTGAAGTAAGATGGTAGCAACTAGGAGTCAACAGGAAAACGCAACAGTTCACAATCTCGGGATGCCCCGGGAACCGAGACAACAGATGAATTAGAGCGAGGAAGGAATGGAGGAGTCATACGTGGATCGGTCCCAACCTCCCAACCCGTCATCGGCCATAGAACAACTGAAGGCCGAAATGATGGAATTGAAGAGACTTCGGGAGAAGGACGCCCACGAGTTGTCGGTCTTAAGAAAGGAGAATGCGGAGCTTAGGAGCGATAGCCGATCCTGGCATCCATCCCACGACACCCCCAACACTCTATCAATGCGCGATCAAGGGAAATCGTTGGGGTGGTACAAAGAGACAAGGACTCCTCGACCGCCTGGCGGAGTGATGACAATAACTCTAGATCAGCAACGGTGACAAGGAAGAACACCATTCACTCTTGACATCGCCGGAACCTGGTTACTAGATAACTGGAAGAATTTGGCCTTGGAAAGGTACGATGGAACCACCGATCCAGAAAAACACCTCGATGCCTTCGTCTCACAAGTCAATTTATACACCGAGGAGGATGCTGTCATGTGTAAGGTATTCCCCAAATCACTAAAAGGACCGACACTAAACTGGTTCACAAGACTCCCCTCGGGATAGGTAGATTCCTTCACAACCTTGTCCTCTCGTTTTGTAATACAATTTGCCACGAGTCGACCCCATCAGCTCACGTCCATAACTCTGGTTAACATTTTCCAACAAAAGAAAGAACCTCTGAGAACCTTCATGGAGCGATTCGAGAAGATGACTTTGTCTATCGGAGGGGTGGCAATGCACCACCTCACCACGGCATTGAGGCCAGGTCCCTTTGTAAATAGCCTATGTAAAAAGCCACCCCGAGACCTGGATGATCTAAGGCAAAGAGCCACCAAGTACATGCAGATGGAAGAGTTAGCCGAGTTCAGGAATCAGAACCGGTTCGACCTCATCCTCGGAAAGAAAAAAGCTGAAAAGGATCACCCTCCAAGGTCTCGCCCTTGAGACGTACCCGATCGAGAGAGGAGCAATAGGGGACCCAGATATGCACAGTACACTCCGCTCAACACCAGCAGGACCAAGGTGTTGGAGCAGGCTTTGTCCATAGAAATCCTCACGGTGCCCCGCGATGCTATGACTCGACCCCACGCAGCCAAAACCAAAACATGCCAATTTCACAAAAACAGGGGACACACCACTGAGAAATGCACAGCCCTCCGAGATCGTATTGAAGATCTCGTTAAGTCAGGCCACCTTAAAGACTTCACCCAACCCTCGGGCAGCAAGAGATACGAAAGCTACCATGAGAAGAGGGAGTTCGAAAGGGGGCACCGCAAAAGGCCACCTCCGAGGTATAGATCCTGGGAATGCAGCTAGTCTCAAGAGAGAAACGATCAGCAGCGAGACCGGAACCAACCAAGAAGGGTAATAAACATAATCACTGGAGGGTTCGCAGAAGGCGGAGGCACATCCTCGGCACGAAGGAGACACTTGAGAGCGATCAGATCAGTCAACGCAGTAACACGAGCAGGGTCGGTCTGTATGCCCCCCATCACCTTCACCGACAAGGACTTTTAAGGGGTCAACCCGGTGCAAGACGAGCCTATGGTCATCAGTATAGAGATTAACAACTGCATTGTGAAGAAGACACTGGTAGATCAGGGAAGTTCAGCCGATATCTTGTATTGGAAAACTTTCGAACAGTTGGGTATCCCCGAACGCGAATTAGCACCTTACAATGAGCCCTTAGTCGAATTTTCGGGCGAACGAGTGGACACCCGGGGAACGATAGACCTATACGCCTACTTCAGGGATGACCAACAAAGACGAAGGGTTAAAGTATGATACGTCGTGGTGCATGCTAATACCTCATACAACATCCTATTGGGCCGACCCTTTTTGAACAAGCTCCGAGCTATTGTGTCCACCCCTCACTTAGCTATTAAGTTCCCCTCCAAAGAAGGAACGA